TCCGATTTAAACATGTCAGTTGAGGTATTTATTACCAGTTTTAAAAGTGTGTGTGGGAAGATGTCAGTGGACAGTAAGAGTGAAGTGATTTTTGGTGGAAAGTTATTTGGAGGTCTTTTTAAAAAGGAATTTCTAATGTTTTTGATTTTAAACTTCCTGGTGCCATTGCTTAGAAGTGCTTTTGCATTACTTATTTAATTTTGCCATAGTAATCTGGAATCATCCCCAACTGGAAGGTCAACTAAGGTGGTTAGTTGGGCTTAAACTGGGAGAGGTAGGTTTGGTTGTAAGCTGTGAGAATGGCTTGTGTTTGGTTCACTGTAGCTTTCTGGTCTCTGCACTCCAAGGCAAGATCTCTAACCACCCAAACCCAATGTGTAAAGCGAACTGTTGACTTAGCTTTGCATCTAACCTTAATTATATGTTCCTGTTACAGGGAGAACAGATCCCATTCCAATCGTTGTCAAGTATGATGTCATGGGCATGGGTCGCATGGAAATGGAGGTAAGTTGATCTCATTGGTTCACTTGTTTTATGGGATATTTAAAATTGATACTAATTTCAAATTCAGATGTAGTTTTAATGTTTTTGAGGGGAAATTTTAAAATGTATTTTACATTCTCATTTAGTGCTGCCTTTGAGGCAGGTAGGTGGCAAATAATGCCCCTGTTATAAAGAAGTTGAGTGGTTTCCCGAGGGTTATGCCACAAGGCAAGGTCAGATTTAAACCCAGACCCCGGTGCTCATTTCCATAGGCAGTGTTGCTCAACTCTTAAAATAATTGCTGTGGGAGAAGCTTTGCCCCTGTAGAGCTGTGTACAGCTGTCATCTGTGATATCTTCTTTTCATTGCCTGAAATATTTTTCTCCATTTACTCCTAATTCTTTGGCATTGAACATTGAAGTAAAGTCTGTTATCACCAACACGTGTGCCTGTTGGGAACCACCAGCATGAAAAGATTAATGAACTATTTTGCATGCTATTTTCTCTGTGGGGTGACAATAAAGCAAGAGGTAGCTGAGCAAAAAGTTAGAAGTTTTTTATTTTCATACAGTACTGTAGTTGTGTAAATGACTTTTTTATGGCTAATTGGGGGTGCTTTAGGAATTAAGACTAATTATATCTGTTCTTGTTAAGCTTGATTATGCCGAAGATGCTACCGAACGGCGCCGTGTCCTAGAAGTAGAAAAAGAAGACACAGAAGAACTGAGACAGAAGTACAAGGTACTTAAATGAAGCCATTCTTGCATGTGGGGTGTTCACACTGAGATATTCATTTTGGGGAAAAGAATATGTTGACAGCAACATTTGTTTGACCTTTGGTGGTGATTAGTCTTAGACCTCGGGTTTCTGTTGCTTTCTTATTTATTGCTTCTGTAAAAACTATAGAGATAATAATAACCACTTTATATTATTATCTGTTGGGGAGAGTGCATTAGTGTTTGAAAATGCAGTGCCTGGTATACATTAGGTAGTAATAGCAGTTAAAATTGGTGAGTCCTTTGAGAGCTTGATACCTGTTGATAAGCCTTTTCTTTTTTGATAGATGAGGTGTTTGACGAATGACAAACAATTGAGAACTTCAGTATCTTCCTTTTTAAGCAGGTAGTTATAGAAAACTGCAGCTTAGAACATGTTATAAGTTAGCTTTCAAAAAGACTGACAAGGGTACGTGCCTTTCAAGATGTTTTAGTAAGCCCAGTCTCTACCATAAAATAGGTAAATTTGAAGATAAGAAACAGAATTAGTGAAGATTATCATATAGAAGCTGATTTTGATCATGATACTTAAGGTGAGAAGAGAGAAGAGGGATTGATTTTTAAAAATCTGTTCTACCGTAAAAAATATATATAAAGCAAAAACTGACAGAACTACAAGGAGCAATGTTATACCTACCACAGTTGTTGGAGATTTTAATATACCTCTCAGTAATTGATAAAAGTAGAGGAAAACAATCAGCAAGGATGTTTGGAAGACTGGAACATCTCATTTAACAAATTTCACCTAATGATTATATAGAACTATATACCCAATCACTTTGAAAGTGACAAATTTCAAATATATATGAAACATTTATTTAAACAAATTTTTTACCATGTTCTGTGTCATAAACAAAGTATCAACAGATTTCAAAGAACTGAAATTGAGTTATCAAGCCATAAAACAATTTTTAAAAAAGATTTTTAAAAATCTCTGTTTCAAAATTAAGAAGCACATTTTTACATATAACCTGTCAGTAAAAGAAGAAATCACAGTGGTAATTGGAAAATATTTTGGACTGAAACATAAAAATGCTACACATCAAAACTTGTAAGATAAGCTAAAGCAATATGATATATGATAGCAAATACATGTCCATTTTTTTTAACATCTTTATTGTAGTATAATTGCTTTACAATGCTGTGTTAGTTTCTGCTATATAACAAAGTGAGTCAGCTATACATATACATACATCCCCATATCTCCTCCCTCTTGTGTCTGCCTCCCACCCTCCCTCTCCCACGCCTCTAGGTGGACACAAAGCTGATCTCCCTGTGCTATGCAGCTGCTTCTCACTAGCTATCTGTTTTACATTTGGTAGTGTATATATGTCCATGTCACTCTCTCACTTTGTCCCAGCTTACCCTTCCCCCTCCCCGTGTCCTCAAGTCCATTCTCTACATCTGCGTCTTTATTCCTGTCCTGCCCCTAGGTTCTTCAGAACCTTTTTTTTTTTTTTTTAGATTCCATATATATGTGTTAGCATACGGTATTTGTTTTTCTCTTCCTGACTTACTTCACTCTGTATGACAGACTCTAGGTCCATCCACCTCCGTACAAATAACTCAATTTCATTTCTTTTTATGGCTGAGTAATAATATTCCATCATATATGTGCCACATCTTCTTTATCCATTCATCTGTCTGTGGACACTTAGGTTGCTTCCATGTCCTGGCTATTGTAAATAGAGCTGCAGTGAACATTGTGGTACATGGCTCTTTTTGAATTATGGTTTTCTCAGGGTATATGCCCAGTAGTGGGATTGGTGGGTCGTATAGTAGTTCCATTTTTAGTTTTCTGAGGAAGCTCCATACTGTTCTTCATAGTGGCTGTATTAGTGTACCTTCCCACCAACAGTGCAAGAGGGTTCCCTTTTCTCCACACCCTCTCTGGCGTTTATTGTTTGTAGATTTTTTTTTTTTCCCCGGTACGCGGGCTCCTCACTGTTGTGGCCTCTCCCGTTGCGGAGCACAGGCTCCAGACGCGCAGGCTCAACGGCCAAGGCTCACGGGCCTAGCCGCTCCGCGTCATGTGGGATCTTCCCGGACCGGGGCACGAACCCGTGTCCCATGCATCAGCAGGCGGACTCTCAACCACTGCGCCACCAGGGAAGCCCTGTTTGTAGATTTTTTGATGATGGCTGTTCTGACCAAGTGAGGTAATACCTCATTGTAGTTTTGATTTGCATTTCTCTAATGATTATTGATGTTCAGCGCCCTTTCATATGTTTGTTGGCAATCTGTATATCTTCTTTGGAGAAATGCCTATTTAGGTATTAATAGCAAATACATGTCCTTAAATGCTTATCTTAGAAAAAAAAAGAAAGGCAGGAAATAAATGAAGTAAACTTTCCTCTTGGAAAGTTAGCAAAAGAATAGCAAAATAAGCCCAAAGGATATGAAAGAAAAGAAATAATGAAGATAAGATAAAGATAAGAACACAAAAGAATGAAACAGAAAACAAACATACAACAAATCCAAAAGTTAGTTCTTCGACATACTTGTGATATTAAGAAAGAAAAGAACATAGAAAACCAATGTCAATAATGAAGAAAAGGGGATATTATTGCAGATGCAGCAGGCACTAAAAGATAAAAATAGTATGGATAACTTTATGCTTTGAATGCAAAGATAGGTTTAAGTGGACAAATTCCTAAAAAATATAACTTGCTAAAATAGACTTGAAGAGAATAGAAAACCTTGGTAATCCTATAACATATATAAATTATATAAATTGAATCTGTGGTGAAAAATCTTTCCATACAGCCCAAATAATTTCATAGTGAGTTCTATCACAATTCATAAAAGAAATAACTTCAGTCTTGACCAACAATTTCTGATCTTCCAGAGAATTGAAAATGAAGAAAAACTCCCAGCTCATTTAATTAGAGACTAGATGGTAACTCCTGACAAGGACAGTATGATAAGAATAATTATATGACATTGATGTATAACACAGATGCAGATCTTAAAACACCATAACCAATTTAGGATATACCATGACCAAGTTATCCCACGAATGCAAGATTGATGTAATGTTAAAATCAATTCATGTAGTCAACCATATTAAATAATTAAAGGAAAAAAATTATATGATCATCTCAATAGATGCAAAACAACCAAGAGCATTATATAAAATTCAGCATTCATTCATGATGAAAAGTCTTGTCCAACTTGACAAAGAAAGGACCTTTTTTAACCAGGTGGAATGCCTACAAAAACTATATAGGAGACATCATACTTAATATTGAAAAGTCGAAAGCTTTCCTTTTGAGATGGGGAAACGTAACAGGGATACCTGCTGTCATTGTTTGTATTAAATATTGTGCTGGAGGTCTTAAGCAGCACAGTGAGGCAGACAGGCAAAAACAAAGATACAAGAGATGAAAGGGAGAGACAGAACTGTCATTGTTTGCAGGTATGATTATGTTCTTGATATCCAAGAAAATTTACAGATTAGTTACACAAATAACAGAGTTTAGCAGGATGCTAGATACAAAATCATGCATTTTTTCAAAATCATACATTTAAATTTTCATATTAGAAAATGGATATAACAAAAATGTCACCAACTGTAATAGCAAAAAAGAAATATGAAACACTTGGGTATAGATCTAATGAGATGCGGGAGACTTAAGGCAAAAATTCTGAAGCATTATTTAGAGGCATTAAAGAGCAATGAATTTTAAAAATGAGATTTTTTTATGATCATGAATTAGAAGACTCAATATTGTAAAGGTATCTGTTTTCCCCCAATTTTTCTATATATTCAAATTAACCATATAAAAATCCCAACAGGATTTTGTATGGAATTTGTATGGAAGTATAAAGGGCCAAGAATAGTCAAAGCATTCTTAAAGTATAAGATAGAAAGCTACAGTAATTAAGACATGTGATATTGGCATAAGGATAGACCAGTGGAACAGAAAAGAGAGCCCAGTTGCAGACCCTTACATATTTGACCACTTGATAAGACAAAGATGGTATTGCAGATAAGTGGGGGAAAGAATGAATTTTTCAGTAAAAGGTTCTGAGACAGTTGGTTATCCATATGGGAAATAGTGAATTTGAACTTCTACCCCATACCATACAATAATCAGTTGCAGGTGGATTAAAGATTTAAATGTAAAAGGAAAAAACATAGAGCTTAGAAGATATTATAGAGGATTTTCTCTTTTCACCACACCTGACGTTATTTACTTATTTTTTATTTCAGTGATATTTTATAATGAAAATTGTTGAGCATACAGAAAAACTGAAAGATCTATATAGTGAATTCCTATATACCTACCACCTATATTCCACAATTAACACTTATAAATATTGTTTTATTATATATCAATCACTTTTTAAGTCCCTTTTTTTAGTTCCTAAAATATCTTTTTGATTCTTTTCCCCAAAATTTGCTATTTTTTTGTTTTTTAAACAAAAACAAAATTTTTTGCCTTCTGGTTACTATTTCTGCCTTTAAAAAAAAAAAACATTCTAAATGTTCTTATTTTATAATTTCTTTCAAATCTTCTATTATCTGTAGTACTTTGTAAGTGTTTTTGTAGTTTGCTGCTTCTGACTTTCTTGCAGTGGTTTGTTTCCTTGTGTGGTTTGCAGTTTTGATTGTCATCTCATTCTCTGGATGTTTTTTGTATCCTGGATTTTAGAGGGGTTCTTATGGGGCAGTTCCATATGTGCTTTTGCTAGAGACTCAAGTCTTTAACTGAAGACCTGAGAACTTCATATGGACTGGTTTTAAAATGTTAATACCCAAGCTAAGGGTTCCTGCTTTGGATTAAAGGTGTACATTCTTTTTTTTTTTTTTTTTCTGTACGGGGGCCTCTCACTGTTGTGGCCTCTCCCGTTGCTGAGCACAGGCTCCGGACGCACAGGCTCAGCGGCCATGGCTCACGGGCCCAGCCGCTCCGCAGCATGTGGTATCTTCCCAGACCGGGGCACGAACCCGCGTCCCCT